TAATAAAACATTCACACCACTGCGTGATCCTTGTTAGTGCAGCTCTTTGAAAGGATGGCTCCAGATTTTTGCTGAGGACTGTCTTTAAAAACAAACAAAAACGAAACTAGTTTAGACTTTAAGGCTTTCATATATAATAATTATCAAGATGATACTACGAGTGCTGACTTTTTAAAGGCAAAGGTTTTGACTTGAAATATCACTACAAAATTAAGGGTCAGTAGTTGTACAATGTAGATTGCAAAGGAGAAGTTAAAATATGAATATTATAAAAATATGTAGAAAATAGGGGCGCCTGGGTGGCTCAGTCGTTAAGCATCTGCCTTCAGCTCAGGTCATGATCCCAGGACCCTGGGATCGAGCCCCGCATCGGGCTCCCTGCTCCACGGGAAGCCTGCTTCTCCCTCTCTCACTCCCCCTGCTTGTGTTCCCTCTCTCCCTGTGTCTCTCTCTGTCAAATAAATAAATAAGATCTTTAAAAAATATATGTAGAAAACAAATAGTGCGAAATGTCAGTTCTAAGTCTTTTCTAGTACGAGGGACTCTGTAGTACCTCCCAGGGGAGCCCTTCACTGCTCTCTCTCTGGAGCGAGCACGCACAGCGCACTGGATCCCCAGGAGCTGCTGTAGGTGGGGAGGGGACGGGCGCCACGATGTGGTGCAGGGGAGCTACTGCCGGCTATGGACACATCACCTCCTCTCTTCTTGGTCAGCCTCCCCTCTACCTCTGAAAAATCGGGGTGATACACAACCTCCTGGAGTTGTCTGCTAGGGTATGGGAATCCCAGCCTGCTCCTTCACACAGAAGTTCCTGGGGGGCCCAACACTTAAGAACCTCGCGAAGCTCCAAGTTCTGTGTGGCAAGCCACCAAGTTAAATCCCAGATCCTCCAGAGCTTTCCAGGGCAGGAGGTGGAGACTGAAGAACAGCCCTGCGCTAGGCGACGGTCCTGATCTTCTGGGCAGAGCTCACATTTTTATTTTTTTAAGGTGCCTTTTCTCTTAAGCTAAATTCCAAAGTCCTTTGTGAGTGTTAGTGATGCCAGTGGTATTGCCCAGCTTGGTGACTGCATGATGCAGGCGTTATTCCATTACATACACAATATTCCAAGAGACCGCTTCAGATCAGAGGGCAGAGAACAAAAGATTCGCCAGTTTCTCTGAGAGGGTTCATAAGATCCTCGTAAGCACATCTGTGCTACTATGTGAAGGTCAGTCTCAAATCAGGTAATTATAATGTATGAACATATTTAGAAATCCTGTCATGTGATTGGATTTTCAAAGCATTTGGGTAGAAAGAAAAAAAGGAGATGTGAGATCCTAAAATACGAACCAGGGATCGTTGGAGGGAAACATTTCCTGTGGAACTGTTCCTGTCCGTCCTGCCACTGATTCAACCATGGGAAAGGCCTACGGCCCATATCCCTAAGACAGGAGAGCTGACGTCCATACAATACATACTAAGTTGTATTTATTCTAGGCACTGTGCTAGGAACTAAGGGTAAACAAGTGAATCAAATCAATCATCCTTACCTTCACAGAGCTTTCAGTCTAGTGCTGGAAAAGTAAAATGATTAAATGCTAAGATCGAAAAGTATGGACAGATATCAGAGGGCATAAAACAGGAAGGCAGGTGTCAGGTAAGACACCCTTGAGTCAGTTACCTAGGTGGAATTAACAAGGTGAAGGGCAGAGAGGAGAAAGAACAGAATGTGCAAAGGTCCTGAGGCAAAAGGAAGCCTGGAATTTTGGTCAGAGTTCATAAAGCATTGGTAATGGGGGTGGGGGGAGTAAGGTAGTGGGAGTGAAAGGGAGAGGTCAAATCAGGTAAGTCACTGTAGGATTTTAATCTTTCCAAATGGCACTGAAAAGTCACTGAAGGATTTTAACCTTATAGAAACATGATCTTGTCTTCAGTCACTTCAGGAGTACAGTAATAGGTGGTGTTACCACTTTCAGGGGGTGAGCTTCTAGTCATAGGGCCCTTTGAAAAATGGCTCAGCCACGTCCTCGTCAGCATGGGGGTGTAGCTTAATTCTTATTTGCTTTAGGGGAAAGATGAGAAGATTGTTTTTAAAACTAAGTCCTTCATCTTCCATTTATATAAAAGAACACTTTTCTAAATGTAAGAAAAAGTTGCTGATCTTTAACTATAATAACATAGATTTATAAAAGTAAAGTGATACTACAGTCTATAATTTCTACAGTTATTCTAGGCAGTAAGATCCCAGAAATGTAGATTTGTCAGTCATCTTCTTGTTTATGATGCACAATCTTCCTTTTTATAAACATTTTTTTAGGGGCGCCTGGGTGGCTCAGTCGGTTAAGCGTCTGCCTTCAGCTCAGGTCATGATCCCAGGGTCCTGGGATTGAGCCCCGCATCGGGCTCCCCGCTCAGCGGGAAGACTCCTTCTCCCTCTCCACTCCCCCTGCTTGTGTTCCCTCTCTTGCTGTCTCTCTGTCAAAAAATAAAATCTTTAAAAAATATATTTTTTTAAGATTTATTTATTTCAGAGATGGAGGGAGAGAGAGAGAGCGCGCAAGCGCACTTAGGGGGAGGGACAAGGAGAATCTAAAGCTGACTCTGCACTGAGCCTGATACAGGGCTCAACCTCGTGACTCTGAGATCACCACCCAAGCTGAAACCAAGAGTCAGATGCCCACCCAGCTGTGCCACCCAGACACCCCTGATGCATAATAATTCTTAAAAGCATTATGTGACTCAAACTCCTAGAGATTATTGTCTGAATGTGCCCTTGCCCTACTATTATTTCACCAAACTTGTAGAACTGGCCTGATTTGCTTACTGCAAATAAAACTTTATTCTGCTATGGCATTTTTGGGGACAATCCCTAAATTATCCTCCACTGTTATATTTAAAAGCACTTGAGAAAATAGCCTGCCATTTATGGGAAACTGGTCCCCAACCAGAGGGTGGGCTGAAACCAGTGCTAGCATGGATAAGCTGATTTAAATTCCTTCTAGACTCTTATTTGACTTGTAAACTTGGACATATCTGTTTGCTTGTTTTTAAACATCTCTGCATCTACAACTCTTCGCTGAAAAAATAGGTACAAGAATGCTTCTCTCTTTGGGGCTTTGTGATAATTGACCAAAAATACAGATAAAGTGCCTTGCATGGAGCTTCCTATGTAGAGCTACACAATTTTATAAAGTTATTATTTGCTGCTCCTTTAGGGGAATACGAAGCACATACCTTTTATTTATTTATTTATTTAGGATTTTATTTATTTGTTTGACAGACAGAGAGAGCACAAGCAGGGGAGTGGCAGGCAGAGGGAGAGGAAGAAGAAGGCTTCCCGCGGAGCAGGGAGCCCAATGTGGGACTCAATCCCAGGACCTCGGGATCATGACCTGAGCCGAAGGCAGTCGCTTAACCAACTGAGCCACCCAGGCGTCCCTGAAGCATATACCCTTAATGAAGATTTGCTGTGAATTTAGGTAGGGAAGCAGATTTTTGGATGGCTCAATGATTCTTTTTAAGAAGATAGGACATCTGTACATTCAGTTTTGTTGTATTTTAAATCTAATGCTTTATCAAATATTGACTGAAGTACTCTGTCTCTTCCTAGAATCCTTTCATTTTATTCTGGACTTGTCCCTGCATATGACAGTTCCTTATATGCACCTATTCAGGTGGAAAGTGTTTTCTTTTTCTTTCTTTCTTTTTTTTTTCTTCTGTCCTCTACTGACATCTCATGGATTTCCTACGTCAGAACTTTGAAAAAAGAAATCTGAAATTTTGAAACGCGAGTGCTTAATAGTAGCAGTCATGTTTTGACATTCAAAAAATTTGAAAAAAGAGAATGATTTTATTTCCTAAATATAGAAGGGAAAATTGTTTCAATTATTTGAGTGACGACTATTCTGCTTTTACGTTCGTTTCATTTTCTGGTGATAAAGATGTTGGGCCAAGAAGACTGCAACCAGTGAAGTATAAGACTCCCTTGTTAAGAAGACTGCGCTCCGAATGCGGGGGTGGGGTGGGGGGAGCTGTTGGCACTGGAAGCCCTTTCAGATCCAGAAGGAGATTCCCTCTCCCTTTCCTTTCCTTACCACAACCCGTCCTGTAATTAGCGGAGCAAGTCAATCTGAGCTAGGCAAATCACTGGCTTTTCACGAAATAATTATATTTCTGTTGCTCTCGGACGTGTGCACCTCTAAGCCTGAAAAACAGAGAGAGAGATGTTTTTCTTCTTCGTGACCGGGGGCAGGGAGAAAAAAGGGGAAGCGACGGGGGTACATGTAGGGAGCGAGACCAGGACAAGGTGGAGGGAGAGAGGAAAGGATTCCGTGGGAGCGTGGGAACACTGAGTCCCGCACGGGCAGTTTAAGCACGCAGACACAATGCCCCGTACAGTACGCGATTTGATAACCCTAAGAAGGGGAACAAAACGAGGCTTTTCTCAACTTTCTGTACCCTCCACAGAGCTCCACAGTGTGTCCCGGCCTCCGCAGCTCCCGGGCCCGGCCGGTAGCTCCCCCACCCCCGCGGGGCCCAGCTTCCCTTCCCGACCCCGAGCCGGCGGCGCCTCCCCGCGTGCCCAGCACACCCCGCGTCCCCTCGTAGGAGCCTGCGGGGGAAAGGGCGCGACGCGTGGGTCGCGCCGGCCCCTTAGCTGGAGGGACGCCCGACGCTGCCTCCGGGGCGGGGACAGCTCCGGCCACCTTGCGCGATTCCGCCCAGAGCTGGCTGGTTCCGGGGGTGGGGGGTCTGGGCGCGCGGCGCCGGCGACAGGGGAGCGCGGCCCCGCGTCGCCCGCGGGCTCGGGCAGGTGCGCGGCGCGTCGGCCCGGTGCTCGCGTCCTCCAGC